AGGAATGGAAAATTTCAGAAGATAATAAAGAAACAATTTTATTAAGAGACAAAAAAAAAAGCCCTTTTAAAAGTTCTCTGTTTGAAATCATTGAAACTTACAATTAGAGCAAGACATTTACTACTCAAAACATTTCATCGTTGGAATGTTACATCTCTTCTAAAGATCAGATTTGTATCATGCCATTCTCTGGAAAAGTTCTTGCTGTTTCAGGAATTCTCCTAGAGGCCGTCATGGCAGGAGACTGAGGCCAAGTAGTGCTCTGAAAATTGGCTCCATCCTGTTTATTAGGCTATGGTGTTCTCTTAGGTTCTTCAAGTGTCGTTAATGATGATTTACCATGAATGTGTCATATTACAGTTTGATTCACTGTAGGCAGAGCTTTTTGGGTTTTTTCTTTTCTTTTTTTTTTTTTTTTTTTTTTTTTTTGGATAAGAAAGTAGTATTTAACCTTTACTATAATCATGAGGATTAAAACAGAACTCTGGTTAGATTCATAAATCAAAGTGATTGTCTTTTTTTTTTAATTCTTTTTTTAAATTTAACTTTATCTTTATTTATTTTAATTTGACCAAAGAGGGACAGAGTGAGTGAGACAGCAAGGGAGAGTGAGAGCGAGTGAGAGAGAACGTGAAAAAGCAAGCTGCCAGGTGGGGACTCAGACCGTGTGGTCAGCCATGTGGTAGTGCAGCGCTCCCAACCACCACACCACCTGCCGGCCCTGTGATTGCCATTGTCAAACTTTTCTTAAAGGTTTTTTTTTGTCATAGGGCATGTGCACTTGAGAAAGAGACACAGACAGATGCAGGGAAAGTGAGACTCATTCCCCAGGGGCATGGTGACACTGCAGTCTTTTCTCCTTCATTCTCTTCTTAGGATTTTGGGCATGCACACACGTGTGACTCTGGCATAAATTTCAAGCTGCAGGATCCAGAACTCAAACCATGGAGTCAGTCATGAGGGATCCAGTTCCTTAACCACCTGTCATTTTCAAATTTGAAAATGACTTAAAATGAAAAATCTGTGCATTGATTTCTAGAGTTCTCTAACCCATAATCATGAAACCTCATGTTAAAGGACTACAAGCTCACACACAGGTGGTGAATAAAACCGAGTCTTGGTTTTTCTATCCAGTGGGGTTTTATGTCACTTAAGAAAATGATATAAATAAAAGCAAGGAATATTTAGTTTTGGTTTATGAAAAAAAAAGAATGTTGTTTGTTATATAATATTAGTGTTCTAAAATGTGATTTATTGTATAATATACCTAATCCATATCTTACAGACCAGGCATTGAGTTGGCTTTTTTTGTTTGTTTTGTTTTTTAATCACTGAGTGATAATCTTTTTTTTTTTTAGAAATGAATAAGAAGAGGGGCCAAAAGTTGGTGTAATGGTTACATTGCTGGACTCCCATGTAGTCAACTGTGGTTCTAGTCCTGGACCCGGCAGCTTAAAACTCACACTGGGTGTGTGTGTGTGGGGAGGTGCCCAAGATCCTTAGAGGAGAATGGAGCAGAGGGGACTGCGGTATAGCCATCCCCCTGGGACCTGATTTCTTGCTTCTGCCTCTCTCTTTCTCTCTCTCTCCAGTAAGTGCACATGCCCTATAGCAAAAATATCTAAGAAAAAAAGATGAATAAGAAGTTATATTATATACCCATTCAGAATGTAGTGATTATATTTCCAAGCTGCAGGTGACTGGCCATATTTGCTATCTTTGGTAATCATTTTTGATGATTCAGAGGCAAGCAGTACCTTCAGGTTTTGTCTAGTAGATCACTCCCAGGGAAGACAAGATTACCCAGCCACACTAAATGGGTAAATACTCTTCACATTTGAACAGCCATCTAAGAAGATCTTCTCACCTCCTTAGTATGAAATTCATATATTAGTAATTTTTATATCTCTATGTTAAATGAAAACATCATTGTTACAAGGATAATGACCTTTATGTTCTTTTCTTTTATTTTATTTTTGAGAAGTTTTTGATATTGGGTGCATGCTCTTGCCAGAAAGACAGAGAGAGAGAGACAGAAAGCGAGAAATCACCCCCCAGGGGGGATGGCCATGCTGCAGTCCTTTATCCTCCATTCTCCTCTCAGGATCTTAGCACATATACACACGTGCCCAATGTGAGTTTTAAGCCACTGGCTTTGGGACTTGAACTGTGGTTGTCTACCTGGGAGTCCAGTGACATAGCTATTATGCCAACTGCTGGCCCCCCGACCTATATGTTCTTTTAAGTATGAAGCGTTTCACCTTTTTGCCATTAGTTTGAACAAGAGGAGTGTTTTTACATGGCCTTTCTTCTGTCATTTTCAATTGCCTTTTTATTTCATATCTTGTTCAAGTGTTTCCTTTAAAAAATTTTTTTTGAATCTTTTCTATACATTCAGGCATTCTTTTTGTTGTAAGTTGTAATAGTGAGTGAAAAATGTATGTGTCTTAATGGTTCTTACATTCGCTACCTTTTCTGGAAAAGGGATGATAGATAACAAGATAAACAACAGAATAGCCTTTGAAAAAACTTATGTATATCAAATATGTCAAAACTGTGAAAGAATAAAAGTCCAGCATGAGACAGCTATATTCAATGAATAACATGAAGTGAAAGCAATGGATTTCAAAATATAATTCTCTTAAGATAAATTTTAAAGAAGGAAGCCAGTAATTTGCCCCTTATTTTTTCTAATTGTTAGAATAGAATTTTAAAAATAAATTTATAAACTAAAGAAAATACCACTTTAGTGCAAATAATATATGCTAAATCTTTGGTTAAAATTATATTTTTAACAATAATTAAATTATCTTCTTATATCAACCTTTGTGCTCAGAATAATTTATGTGAATGTATTTGGGTTTTAGTATATCCAAAGTCTTTATATTTTTTTTAAGAGAGAGTTTTGCTCTAGGGCACGTGTGCTCTTTGGAGAGACAGAGAGACAGAAAGCAAGAAACCACTCCTCGGGGATATGGCCATGCTGCTATCCCTCCTTCTCCATTTTCCTCTTGGGATTTGGGGCATACAAGCACATTGCCTAGTGTGAGTTTTAAACCACCAGGTCAAGAACTTGAACCATGATCAACTTCATGGGAGTCCAGCAATGTAACCATTACATCATCTGCTGGTCCCAGTGAAAGTCTTTTTTTAATACGCCTTATCCTTGAAATCTAAAATCTCTTGAACAGGTGAAAAGAGTATACCCACTACTGACCAAACATTTTTAATTTCATTAGCTCTCACACTATAATCTCTTACCCTTGTAATCTAGCTATTATCTGGTCTGTGTCACACTCTTAACAATCATTGTGGATTTTATCTAGCTCTGCAGCCTGTTGATCTATCCTTTTTATGTATTTTTTTTTAAACTAGCATTTCTAGTTTTACTCAAGCCAAGAATGTATGGTTTCCTAAGCACCTCCTCCTTGGAGAAGTCCTCAACCTCTTCTCTAGAATAGACAGATTTAGAGAATTATGTCCTATTCTTATAAGGCATTCTTTGTAAAGATGCAAGCTACGTACATACCATCTTTGGGAGAATTAAGAATATACACAACTCACATAATGTTTAGACCACAACTCAGCTTTATACTTTTTATTTATTTTATTTTATTTTACTTTTTAAAACATCTATTTACTTCTTTATTTATTTGTTTTGATTTCCAAGCTGCCAAGTTCAGGTCTTGAACCGCAGTTGGCCATGTGAGAATCCACTGCCTTAACCACCACACCACCTGCTGGCCCATTTACAACACCATTCTCCTCAATTGCATTGTTTATTAGTACTTCAATAATGTAAACTCCATTAAGAGAGCAGCTTTGCTTTGCTTCTGACATTATTTTAGTACTTAGGACAATGCTTAGCATGCATACACACTGTCTTACTCACCAGGCAAAAGTGCAAAAGTTCTCCTTAAGCCCACCTCTGTGCATTCTCCATATTTGTACCAGAGAATCCAGCAACTGAGCATTTTTGTAAGGGCAAGTGTGAGGGAGAGGAGGTTCTTACAACAATACTGGCTTGTGTACTTTATACTCATGACCACAAAGCTGCTGTTGGAACTCTGTTCTTTCCAGCATTGTTATAAAATTATCTTGAAAATTTGGCTTTCTCAGTTTTTATGATCAGTTTGTATCTTCTCCTTTCCAGTTTGCACAAGAGAATCAAGAATCAAGATTCCAACTACAGTCAGCCATGTGGGTCTGCATAGCTAGCCCTGGATTTTTTTTTTTTTTTTGTAGCAGAAATCAGGGTTAAAAAAAGATAAATAGATTGCTTAGAAATATCATGATTTTTTGATATTCCCCTCAGAACTCAGTACACCTTTCTTTTTTCTTCCCCTCTTTATTTTTGAATCCCAGTCACGTTTTGAACAAAATATGCATAGAAAAATCCTATTTTTGCTAAGCTATGCTCTTGGGATTTGGGGCATACAAGCACATTGCCTAGTGT